TTCGTCGTCGAGCATGTTTTGGAAGAACTGGGTAACCCCTGGCTGGCCTTGAGAGGCTGCGAGGCCGTATAAGCGCTCGAACACTTTATCGAATCGTGATATTGGTCGGGTCGGGCTTTCTCTTGGTACATGACGGCTGGCCGCTTCTTGGGGTACCTTTCGATGGTTTCGATGTTGGTGCTGTTTGCGCTGATGGTCGTCAACGCCGATCTGAATGTCCAGCGCTCAGTGGTCGAGGCCGTTGTGGCGCCTCTCGCCTTTATGCCCGATAGCTCGGGCTGGCACCCCTTGTCGTAGTCCTGCGTGTACAGCTACCTCGGCTTGTTCTTGCAGTCCGGCTAGTTCTGCGGGTGGTTCTCGTAACTCATGCGGTTGCCCTCGTCGCCCTTGCAGCTCAGCTCGTCGCCCCGGCAGCTCTGCGGGAGGCACTTGTAGTTTTGCTTGTGGCCCGCGTATCTCAAATTGTGGCCGCGCTTTGCACGTGGTCCTCGCAGCTCCGCAGGCGGCAGTTGTAGCTGAGCTAGTGGCTCGCTGAGTTCTGTACCTGGGCCTTGCAGTTCGGCTCGTCGCCCTAGTAGCTGTGCAAGTGGCTTTGGCAGGTCTTCCTGTAGTCGGCGTGGCTCTGGATGTGGCCCTGGTAGCTCAGCAGGTGGCCCTCGTAGCTCTCGTAGATCAGCTGGCGGTCCTTCGAGCCCTGCCTGTGGCGCTCGAAGCCTTGCCTGTGAACCTGGTAGCACAGCGCGTGGTCCCAGTAGCTCAGTTCGTGGTCCTGGTAGCTCAGCTGGTGGCTGTCCCTGCTCAGAAGGTGGTCCTTGCAGTTCAGCTTGTCGCCCTGGTAGTTCTGAGGGAGGCTTCTGCTTGTGCCCCGGGTGGCTCAGGCAGTGGCCCCTGTAGCTCTTCCCGTGGTCCTTGTAGTTCAGCTGGTAGGTCTCGGAGTTCTGCTTCTGGTCCTTGCTGTTCATCTCGTCGCCCTCGTCGCTCTGCGGGGGGGGGTCAAGTAGGTCTTCCTGTAGTCCGCGTAGCAGTGGCTGTGGCCCTGGAAGCTCAGCGCGTGGAGCTCGTAGCTCTCGTGGCTGTGCGTGTGGTCATCGTAGCACAGCTGGTGCTTCGGGTAGCTCAGCTGGTGGTCCTCGTAGCTCAGCTGGTGGCCATCGCAGCGCCGCAGGCAGTCCTCGTGGTTTCAGCTGGTAGTTCTCGTGGTCCTGCTTAGTGGCTTTCGTGGCTCAGCTTGCCGTCCTGGTTGCTGAGCTTATGGCTCCCGTGGCTGGGCAGGTGGCCCTCACAGCGCGGCAGGTGGGTCCCGTAACACTTCTAGCTGTGGCTCTCGCAGCTCCGGTTGTGGCTGCCGTAGCTCGGCTCGCGGCCGTCGCAGCTCAGCCGATGGCGCTCTCGTGGCTCTGCTGGCGGGTCTCGCAGCGCGGCGCGTGGGACTTGAGGCTCCTCGGGTGGCTCTCGTGGCAGGGCGTGCGGTCCACGTAGTTCAGCCTGCGGTCCCCGAAGGCCGTCTGGTGGCCCCGGTCGCTCTGCTGGTGGCCGTAGCAGTTCCGCAGGCACGCGCTCGTCGTAGTCCCCGGGGTGCCTGACGAGAGTCGTCGGCTGCCAAGGCGCAGCGTCCTACGGTCTGGGTGTCCCTGCAGTTCTGGCTGTCGTCGTTGTCCTGCGGCCCGTCGCAGTCCTGAGGGTCGTAGGCGTGCAGGCCGTTGTCGAACACACACTGTCGTCATAGCACTCGTAATTGCCGGCGCGGCCGTAGTTGTACTCGTCGTAGGCAGCGCGGCCGTTGCCACCTGAACCTCCACGACCATGCACTTAGTAACCCTTTCGGGCTGCTCAGTCGTGTCTTTCCTGGTGTCGGTCTTGGTTGCGTACTTGATGTCGTACCTAGGTTGCCTGTTACGCAGCTCTTCCTCGGGCTGCATATTACGTAGCTTTTCCTCAGGCTACATGTTACGCAGCTCATTCCGTCGTGTAGTTGGCGCCATCATGAAGGCGGTCGTAGCGATTGTCATGATGTCGTTGAGGTGTGCTTGTAGCTCGTGTCGGATGAGGTAGCCCGTTCTTTTGAGAGCTGCACCTGCTCGTATTTTTCTATGCGGATCTAGTCTCGACATGTTGCCAGCAGTCTCTACCGAAGTGGGTAAGTCTCGTAGCCGATGCTGTAGATGTCCAGCCTGTAGTTCGTCAGCTGGTGGATGATCTTCCTCTCCCAGATGATCGCCGTCTCCCGGATGTTCGCTTTGTGGTGGTTGTTGTTATACTCGTTGTGCGCGCGCCGCCAATGGCGGCGGCTTGCTTAGGCCAGCCCCCCCTTCCACTGGTAGTGGGGGGCGCCTTCCCCGCAGGGGCCAGAATGGCCCTCCTCCCTCCTCCTCCTCCCTCCTCCTCCTCCTCTTCCTCCTCCTCCTCCTCCTTCTCCTCCTCCTCCATCTCCTCCTCCTCCTCCTGCAAGAGGATGCACCGAGAGAGCCCAGGCCCTCCCAGGACACTCGCAGACAGCCTCCAGAGCCCCAGAGCCTGAAGCCTGCAGTAAACCCGGGAGCCCGTCGGTCCCGAACGCACTCGTGCCGCCTGCGATCGACGGCCCGTGCGCGCTCGGGACCAACACCTCGACCCGGCAGCCGTGGCCTGTCCACGGCTTCGCACTCGTCAGCTACAACGCCGGCATCAGCGCGTGTGAGAAGGGCGAACAGTGGCAGCAGGCTCTGACGCTGCTCCGCGAGATGCGGGAGGCGAAGCTGGAGCTGAATGTCATATCATATCTGCGCTAACAGGAGTCACGCGCGCCAGAAGGGCGCATTTCAGGAGGAAAAAGAACACAAAGACACAATTCATCGTCGATCCCCCAGAAAATATGGGAAAATATGGGAATTGGGCGGGAAGACAGACACCCAGAAAATATGGGAAAACATGGGGAAACATTTTGTTTGTGTGTATTTATTTGTGTGTCCTTGGGCCCCTTCAGCATTGTATGCTGAGTTCCCAGTCCTGGGAAGCGCCATCCGAGCGGCTCCTCTCGGGCCCGGCGCCGGCGTGGGCGCTCTCCGAGGCCGTGCGGCCCGCTCCGACTCAGCGCAGACGGGCCGTGCAGGCTTTGGGACCTCGCCCAGGGGCCCCCTACGAGGCGCCACGAGGTGCACCAGGGCCTCCAGGGGAGGCCTAAAGCTGCCCCACGACCCTTTTCGGATGCAAGCTGCGACCGAGAGCCCGCAGGCTTTTCGGCGTCGCTGGCTTTCCAGGTTCACCCCGGCATGCCCTCGGCCGCCTTTTTTCGCACGGCCTCGGGGTGCTCCACCGAGCCTCCCAGGCGGCCGCCAGCCAGCCCCCGAGAGGGTCCCGAGAGGGCACCCGCGTGCCCCGGGAAGCTTCCAAGGCGACGCCGCTTGCTGGGAGGAGCCTTGTCTTTCCTGCAAGGAATTCCAGAGCGGCCGCAAGAAGCAAGGGCGCCCTCGAGGGCGCGAAGTCATTCGCACTTCGCGCTTCGCGGTTCGGCTCCGATCCCTTCTCATCCTCCTCTTCTCCCCTGGGAGGCGGCGCGAGACCGCGAAGTTATTCGCACGTCGCGCTGCGCGCAGTGCGAAGCACGAGGTTGGGAGCCCTTGGGGTGCCCAGCGGGACGTCCAAGGCGGCCCAAGAGGGTCCCATGACGCTCTCTTCGGGTCCAGGAGCGCTCAAGGGGCGGCCCCCCGCCACAGGGCGCCCATGCGGCCCGAGCGCGCTCCAGGCGCTCGGGGCTCCTGCCGCTCCCGGGGCGGCTCCCGAAGGGTCCGTGTGCCTTCCGCACGGCCACTCCGCAGCCCTGCCGCTCTCGAGTCAGATGTGAACGCGGTTCTAGCCCCCTGGAGGGGAAGCGGCTTTGGCGCTCAATCGAACTGGTCTTGCCCATGGACGGGCATCGTGTGCTTGTGTTCGCTGGGCGCTTTTGCTAGCCCGAGGTGTGCGTGCGTGGACGATGGTCGACTGGTCAGCCTTTTGTCCCCCGTGCTTACACTGCAGGCGCACGCGCGTGCGAAGCGGGCCTGGGGATCAAGTGCACCCCAGATCGTCCTGGAGCGGCTCCCGAGCCCTCGGCGAGGCGCGGACCAGACTTCCAACACGAGGGTGCCTTGTGAGAGCGTGCCCGCGGCCCCGACGCTGGTCGAAGACGCCTCCGAGGCGGCTGGCGAGCGCTCCAGGACGCCCAAGATCGCCTGAAGATTATGACGTTCCAGCCTACTTTAGCCTTGCTCACCAGCATGAGTTTCGAGCACCAGAAAAGTACCCCCAAACTTGAGGGTTTTCACGTGTCGGGCCCTGGGAGACACTCTTCCGACACTGTTTCGACACCCTTTCGACACTTTTCCAGGTGCTCGAAATTATTTCCGGGATGTGGTCCTTAAGCACGATGGGAGCAACATAACCTGAAGACCGTCCCAGAGGCCTCCAAGAATGCCACCAGGAAGCGCCCAGCACAGCGCAGGAGCACCAAGAGGACCGCCCGCGGAGGCCGAAATAATTCATTCCACCATGTGTCTTCCAGGTGTCTCGGGTTCTCCACGTTTCGTGCGAAGACCGCCTAAGATAGCTCCCAGGTCCACCCGAGACGCCCCAAGACTGCCCAAAAGGCCCCGACGAGAGCCTCGACGCGGCCCAGGAGTGCTCCCCGACAGATCCAGGAGCGAGGGAAAGACCTCTTGCGGGGCGGCCTCTGAGCCCTCGGGGAGACGAGGACGATGTTTCGCGCAAGTTTGGCCCCTGCCGCAGACCATGGCAAATTTTACATGCCGCCCCCGCGTTCGATCTCGTCCTCCGGGCAGCGGCGAGCGTCGACCTGGAGCTCCTTGGACACGGCGCCCGTGACCGCCAGCAACGCCGGCAACGTCGCCTTCCCGCTCCCTCACAGACGCCCGAGGCTGGAAAGCACATGGGGCCCAACCTCATCGAGTGCGCCTGGCGGCACCGCCGATTCTCCCCGCAAGTTGACGTAGTCTACGGGCCAGCCCTAGTCTATAGTCTATACTACAATGCAGGGCTCCGCGCGTGCGAGAAGGGCGATTCTGGTCAAATGGCGTAGCAGACCCAAGACACGCCAAGAGGGCCCCCAGAGGCCCCCAAGACGGCCCCAGAGGGCCCCAGGACGCCCCAAGATGGGCCCAAGACGCGCCAAGAGGGCTTCAAGAGGCCCCCAAGACGGCCCCAGAAGGCTCCGGGACGCCCAAAGATGGGCCCAAGACGCCGAAGATTGGGCCGAGACGGTCCCAGAGGCGGCCAAAATGCCCCAAGAGGCCTCCCAAGAGGCTTCCCAGCAGGGCCCCGAGCGGGAGAAATCGTCGATTTCCATTTTGTTTTTCGATGTTTTTCGCATTCTCCCCTTTTCGCCGTCCCTGCGCTCCAAGACGGCCCAAGAGGTCCCCAAGACCGCTCCAAGACCACCGACGAGGCCCGCAAGAGGGCCTCAAGACGGGCCAAGAGGGCCCCCAGACGGTCCCAAGACGCCCCAAGACAGCCCAAGACGGCCCCCCAAGACGGCCCCAGAGGGCCCCGGGACGCCCCAAGATAGGCCCAAGACGCGCCAAGAGGGCCCCAAGAGGCCCCCAAGACGGCCCCAGAGGGCTCCGGGACGCCCCAAGATGGGCCCAAGACGCCGCCGTGTTTGTAGATTTTCGGTGCAATCTGCGCCGTTCCTTCGAGAACCATTCCAGAAAGTTGTCGTGGACGGAGTCCACGGGTCAGCCCTAGTCAGCTACAACTCTGGGATCAGCGCGTGCGAGAAGGGCGAGCAGTGGCAGCGCGCTTTGGCGCTGCTCAGCGAGATGTGGGAGGCGAAGGCGAAGCCCGATGCCATCCTTGAGTGCCAGGTGACCTGCGTGCGAGATGGGTTGTCGAAGGCGGCCTGGCCTTGGGCGGCATTGCCTCGGCGGCTCCGCTTGGGCAGCGGCGCCGTCCTGGGCGCCCAGCTGCTCTGGGGTCGTTCCCGCTCGGCCCGAGCGTTGGCCGCTGGAGGCTCCGTGCACGCGCCCGAGAGCCCCCCGGAGGGGCCAAGTTCCTCCCAGGCAGGCCCGAGAGAGTCTGCAGACCCTCTCTTGTCCCAAACTCGGCTTCCCGAGCTTTTCGTCGTGTCTACCCTGCAATCTGCGTCTGCGGGAAACCGTATTCGTGTCCACGGCCTCGCGGGCTGGGCCCTGGAGCCGCGACCCCGCGGATGCGGGGCGCGTTTTCGCGGCCGCCCCGTGCGGGACGTGTCCGTGCGACCGCGTGTCCACGGGGTCGCGCCATGGAGTCCAGACCGCGAGGCCGTGGATGTGGACATGCGCACCGCTCGTGAAGCCCGGCAGCGCCTCGCGTGACCCCAGAGTGCCCCCTTACGCGCCTCCAGGACGGCCCCGGAGGAGGAGGAGGAGGAGGAGGAGGAGGAGGAGGAGGAGGAGGAGGAGGAGGAGGAGGAGGAGGAGGAGGAGGAGGAGGAGGCGGAGTGCCTCGCATGACCCTGGCGTGCCCCTGCGCGCCGCCAAGACGGCCCCCAGGCGGCCCCGGGAGCGCCGCCGGGCGCTCGACGGAGCTGCCAAGATGGCCCAAGACAGCTTCCAGGGAGCACTCCGGCGGCCCAGGAGGCCCCCAGGGAGCCCCAGGGCGGCCCAGGAAGGCAGCAAGGCGCCCCCCCCAAACACAGCCCCAAGGGTCGAGAGGCCGCAAGCAGGGCCTCAAGAAGGCCGCACGTCGGCCTCAGGAGGGGTCCGTGAGCGACCCAAGAGGAGCTAAAGCGCTCGGCCACGCGCGCCGACGCCATTGGGAGAGTCGCCCGGTGGCCGCTCCTCGGGCCTCTGTCGCCCCTCGCTCCTGGCTCCTTGCTCCACGCTGCTCCTCGCCCTTCTCTCTCCAAGCTCCTTGCCTCCGCTCCCCCTCGCTCCTCCTCGCTCCCTGCTCCCCTCTCCTGGCCCTCGCTCCTCCCCCCTTGGCCACTCTGTGCCGGCCGCTCCTCGCGCAGCCCTCCTCACTCCTCGATCTTCGCTCCTCGCTCCACGCTCCTCGCCTTCACGCTCCGCGCTCGTCGCCCCTCGCTCCCTGCCCACCGCTCCCCTCCTGCTGCGACTCCTCTGCTCTCTTCGGCCCCCTCTCTGGGCTCTGGGCGCTCCTCCCTCTGGGCCACTCGCACCCCCCCCCCTCCCCTCCCGCCCCCCTCCCTCCCGCGACTCTCTCCCTCCTCTCCTCCCTCCTCCCTTCTGCCTCCCTCCTCCTCCCTCCTCCCTCCTCCCTCCTCCTCTCTTCCCCTCCCCCTCTCTCTCTCTCCTCCCTCCTCCCCTCGGCCGCCGGGGCCCGCGCCGCTCTGCCGCAGCCGCGCTGCCCTGCCCCTCTCTCTCGCGCGCGCTCGCCGGGGCTCCCCGGGCCCCGGCTTTGCCACTCGCGAGAGAGGGCGCGAGGGGCCGCGCCGCCGATGGGCGCCGCGCGCGAGGCGGCGGCTCGCGTCCTGGCCCGCCGCCGCCCACCAAACCGCCCCCGAGCCCAGCCCGAAGGCCCCGATGTCGCCCCCCATTCCCCGTGTGGGGGGGTCCGTCCCCCCACAGTGGGGGATTTTCGACGAGAAATAACAAATGCCCCCCCAAAAATACCCCAAGAAGGTCAAGCATTACCCTGCCCCCGATTGCCCCCCCCATGCCGGGTGTGGGGGTTGTCGGGGGACATGGATCGGGGGTGGACAGAACCCCCAACAGTGACGCGTCGATTAGTGAATTGGCCCGCCGCCCACCAGACCACCCCGGCCCAACCCGAAGGCCCCGCTTGGCCCCACCCCCATGCCCGGTGTGGGGGCGTCGGGGGACAGGGAAAAACTTTTTTGATCCGCGGGGCGAGAGCGAGCCTCTTCCGGTCGAAGCTAAGCGGGCCGCGCGCAGCTTGAATCGACAGAGGGGGGAAGGCAGAAGGAGGGGCCTCACGTCAAGGCCAAGAGAGGGCAAAGCCCTGGAACCAGGCGGCGCCGAAGGCGATGTGCATGCCAGACATGGAGAAACACACACATCTGGGCCCGGTGGGATTCGGCCTTGAACGATCGGGGCCGCGATCGATGCCAGGTCGAGCGATCGGTGCGGTGTCAAAGGCCTTCGCGCGCGCCGCCGCCGCACGAACCTACCGTATGGATGCCCCTCGGTCGTGGAGGAGGAGGAGGAGGAGGAGGAGGAGGAGGAGGAGGAGGAGGAGGAGGAGGAGCCCCCAACTCAAAGCTCGGGTCTTCGGGGTTGGGTCGGGGTGGTCTGGCAGGTCCTCGCCTGCTCCCTCCGCCCCGGCCGCCTGGGCTGCCAGGGCGTCAACAGGCGCTGCGCCGGCGCCGCTGCAGTGCCTTCGTCGCCGCTGTGGCCTGCGCTGCCGCCGCCCCTGCGTGGGTGGCTGGGGGATGCGCCACTCAGGAGGGAAAGAAACACACAGACACGATTCATCGTCGATTCCCAGGAAAAGATGGGAAACTATGAGAAGTGGTGGGGATGACAAAACCCCAGAAAATATAGGAAAATATGGTGAATTGTTTTATTTGTGTGTATCTATTTGTGAGTCCTGGGGCCCCTTCAGCCACCTCTGCCCCCGCCACGGCACCCGCCGCCGCCTGCACCGCCTGCTGCTGAGCGTCCAGCGGAAGGACGAGATGCAGGACAACTGCTTCTGCCTCTTCCGCTTGAGCTTCCGCCTCTTCCGCCTGCTGTGAGCAGCACTCTCGTCCCCACAGGCGGGCCCGCTGTTTCGTCGCCTGCTCCAATGATGCCGCCCACCAGCTACGACCCCGAAGGCTGCACGGCCAAAGCCTCCAGAGCAGAGTGACCACTTGCGGTACATCGTCCTAATCGCTTGAGCGATCTACTTCTGCTTCTGACCAGGCTAGTTTTGCCCGCGATAATCAGAACTTTGTTGGAAGAGATGCTCCCCTGCCTGCCTCATTGGGGCGTCCCCCATCGACTCCGCCAGCATGCCTCCGCTCTCCTGGAGAGGTAGTTGCCAGCCGCCATGCTTTGAACGCTCAAACGACAGGAAATTCAGTCAACAGGCAAGCTGGTTCGGATGATAAGCTTCGCCAGTGCCTTAGTTGTCGGCCACTCTATGCTCCTGTCCCAATGGGCCGGCCCCAGTCGCACTCCAGATCCTCTAGGTCTCTGAGTGGAGCCGACACTCGCGCCTTCAACAAGGCGGGTGCAGCTGAAACGGAGCAGGAGCAGCTAGACATGCAGGCTGTGTTGTCCAGTAGCTAGCCCGATGCGCGTCCCAGTCGTTCTGTAAAGAAGCGCGCTGTCTCTTCCTCGTTAGACGAACACTGCATGTCCGATGAACATGTTGCAAACGTGAATGCTCATCAGGAGCTGCGCGATGGATACATCGTCGCATATTTCTAGGCCAGGCGGGCTGGATTTTCCTGCGAGAGCGTCGTGCAAGACGGCGCGCTGCCAGAACATGGTGGGCCTTCGTTGCCCGCGCCCGGCGCTTCCCAGGTCCCTGCTGTGCAGCCGCAGCGGAATGAGGGCGAACGTTTTCAGCGTTGGGCAGCCTCCCATTCGCAAGTCGTGCAAGAAAAGGTCTTGGTCCGGAACGCGCGCCAGCAGTGGGCGGCTCCATTGTTTCCGATGCGTGCCCATAGCATGCCACTCCTGAGGGCGCAGCGCGCATGATGGACGCTGGCGCAGTGCTGAGATCTGCAATGCAGGAAAAGGGTTCAGGTGCCGTGCTTGTTGTGCTGAGGACTCTCCTCCACACGAGAAGGATGCTCTGATTTCTTGATTCGTCCGCAGAGCTCAGGAGCTCCCCGACGTCTTGTCAGAGCCTTCCCCTGACTTCCCTGTTGATGTGGGGAAGCCTGTCTTCGCCTAGTTGACTATCACTCATCGCGCTGTTTTGCAATAGTAATCTTGCTGTCAGTGGGGCCGTCAAGGTTCTCTGCTTGTTGCCTGTCCTCTCCCGACGTCCAACCCGCGCGTATCGCTCTGACACTGTTGCGCTCAGTTGTGTGCGGCGTTAAGTTGAGGTCGGAACCGCTCATTCAATCTGGCAGTGCCATCGTGAGTATTCGGTAGTGCATTCGCCTCTTTCACGCTATTTGTTGTGCTAGCGAAGACTGGTGCACATGGTGCCTCGGTCACCTTTGCTGCCCGCGCCTGCTTCTCCTCTGGGTCTCCACCTTCGCCTGGGATTCGACGTTTTGCTTGTGACCTCTGTCTATGCTACCTGCGCGCAGCCAGTCTTGGCTTAGTCGATGCCCCTCCATGGTGCACTCGTGTCTTTTCCTACTGGGTTTCGTGTTGTCAGTCCACATTTGCATGGCCAAATACGAATTTCTGTAATGCCCCTCACAGGGGGCATCAGTCATGCAGGTCGCCGGAGACTCAATGTGCTGTGTCTGGCCTCTTTGTCTCAAGTGCTACGCTGTCGTCCCTCCCCTTCCATGTCCCTTCCTCCCGGCTGCGTTGGCGCGCGCCCACGGGTCTGTCGAGCCTCCGGCGCCTTCCTCCCGCCTAGTGTGGCCTCACGCCAGGGTCAGGGGCCTTCGCCCGCAGCGTGGGGACAGCTCCCCCTCCTGTTAAGCAGGCTTCCTCTTCGTGGGTCACCCCCTGTCGCGCTCCTTTTGTGCTTCCACCGGGTCGCCCCCCCGGCCCGAGGTCCGGTCCCTGGTCATGCATCATATGCGTGTGCACGTCTTTTCGGCGCCTGCCGCCTCTTGCGTGCTCTCCTCGAGGCCGCCGTAGTGTCTAGTACTGTCCAGCCCAAAGCGTCGGTGATTCCTGCCTTTGGCGTTATCGCTATTTGCCTCTTCGCGTCCCCGCCCCTTTCTCTTTGCTTCATTCCCTGGACCTCCTGGGGTCCCAGGCTGAGGGGCATTTTTGACTTTTACGCTGTCTCGCGGCGGTGGCGCAAGTGGCATGACTCCAAGTCAATAGCGCAACCCGCCCGAGCCAGTCAGATCGGTGCCGAGCATGCCCAGTGCGAAGCCATCTTCGAGCAAAAGGGCCTTGGCCGCCGCTCTTCCCTGTTCGCCACTCGCCCTTCGCCGATCGGTTTTCACTCCTCCCTCCTCCCTCCTCGATCTCCTGGCTCGTCTCTCGTCTCCCGAGCAGGAGGTGTCATCAGCTAGCTGAAGCAGCGAGAAGCTCCACACTGCAGCATTGAGCAGCAGCGGCGAACAGCAACAGCAACACGCAGCACGAAGCGGGCAGCCGCAACGGCAGCGCACATCAGCAGCAAGCAGTAGCATGCAGCGGGCACAGTGCCGTTTTTAATACATGCTCCGCGTGCGGATCATGCATTAAACATGCAGGTATTTAGTATAAAAAACAACGATGAGTTCATGCATACATTTATTCATATATGGATCATGTATTAAAGATCCGATGTTTCTTAACATCCTATGTATTCAACACTGCCCTGTAGCAGCACGCAGCGAGCAGAACTTGCCATCGGCAGCAGCCTGCAGCCACACACGCCGCAGCAGCATGCTGCAGTGGCAAACGTTTTACCAACAGCATGCAACGTCGGCAGGCAGCGGCAGGGCGGGCTGCGCAGGTCGATCCCCGCAATGGCTCCCCACAGTGCCATTAGGGGGCCACATGCTAACCCTACCCCTACCCCCCCCACGACTTCTGAGGGGGAGGGTGGGGTTCACTTCGCTCGGGAGCTCCCGAACGAAGTGAACCCCACCCTCACCCTCACCCTCAGAACTCGTGGGAGGTAGGGGTAGGGTTCGCGTGTGGCCACCTAGTCATGCTGGCCTTTCGGCGACGTGTCCGGCATCGGATGCCAGTTCGTGCAGAGCTAGTGGACGCAGCCCACGGGTCAGCCCCAGTCAGCTACAACTCTGGGATCAGCGCGTGCGAGAAGGGCGAGTAGTGGCAGCAGGCTTTGGCACTGATCAGCGAGACGTGGGATGCGAGGTTTACAGGCTACATGGCTGGGATCAGCGCGTGCGCGAAGGACGAGCAGTTCCAGCGGAATTTGGCGCGTTTCAGTGAAATGTGGCTCGGGAAGGCGAGACGTGCCCACACTAGCGCGTGCGAGAAGGCTGGGCACTTGCAGGGCAGTGGCGCTGCTCGAAGGCATCGTGTGGTGACTGTGAACCGGACTTCATCACGTACACTGCTGGTGCCAGCGTGTGCGAGTAGGGTTGGCGATGGCTGGCGGCGGTGTCGCTGGATATAAGAACTCACGGGAGGTGATATATTGAAGCCTGACGTCGTCACGTACAAGTGCTGGAGCCAGCGCAAGCGAGACGCTCGAGCAGCGGACACGATAACCAGACTGAGACGAGGTGGAATCCGAGCCAGGCGCCATCACCTGTAGTTCCAACAGTTACATGCTTCAGGAGGGTGGGCGCTGGCCAGATGCTGCTCAGGGGGTGGCGGAAGGGAGGCGGAAGCCGGGCGTCACCAGCTACAGCCCTGGCCATCCTCGCCTTGGGCCAGCGTGTCGCAGAGGCGTGGGCACCGGCCGGGGGCGCAGCTGCTCTGCATGATGGGCTTGTTTTCCACCACCACCACCATGAGTTGGAGGGGGAGAGGGTCCTCCTCCTCCTCCTCCTCCTCCTCCTCCTCCTCTTGGTCCTCCTCCTCCTCCTCCTCCACCTCCTTCCCCCCCTCCAACTCATGATGGTGGTGGTGGTGGAGAACAGGCCCATCACTGCAGAGACGTCGGCGAGGGCAAGATGGAGGAGAGCGGGCGTGGGCGGCCACACTGCCCCGACGCCAGCGTGTGCGAGGATGTCCGGCAGAGGCGGGCAGCGCCGTCGCGCTGGTCAGAGAGAGGGGGGGAGTGAACACGTGGAGGCGGACGTCGGGAGCCACGCTGGCGGCCTCGGAGCGTGCGTGAAGGGCTGCAGTGCTTGGAGGCGCTGGCGCTGGCCAGGGGAGTCGGGCCGATCGAGGTTGGAGAGGGACGTCCTCGGCTGGCCAGGGGAACCGAGGCTGGAGATGTCTGGAAGCGCTGTCGCTGGCCAGGGGAGTCGGAGCGATCGAGGTTGGAGAGGGACGTCCTCAGCTGCAGTGCCGGCCCTGGTGCGTGCGCGAGAGGGGCAGGCGCAAAAGAGCCAGGCTGCGGGCACCCCAGCGCGCGTGGGGACGGCGGGCAGTGGCCAGAGGCGCTGCCGCAGCTCGGAGCTGGGGAGAGCAAAGCTGGAGTCCAGCATTGCCGTCTACAGTGCTTGCATCTGCTCTCAGGGGAATATCGACGGGCGGGCCTATGGCGGCAGCTTCGTATCATGCTGCATGGTTGCAGCGTGGGCCCCGAGCAGCGAGGCTGCGCAATCTGCGGATCGGGTGCACTGAGACGCAAGTCAAAACAAGGCAGCGCCATGCAAGACGATCCAAGCAGTGCAAAGTGTTGCAGAGCAGTGCAATGCATATCAGTGCAAGCCAGTGCAAAGCAGCGCAACGCAATGTAAAGCGAAGCGATTTAATGCAACGCAGAGCAACGCAATGCAGTGCCAGGTAATGCAGCGCAAACGAAAACTACGGCACGAAGATCCTCCGGCCGACAGGCGCAGCCCTGGGCGCAACCCATGGGCGCAACCCATAGGCGCAACCCACAGGCGCAACCCATGGCCGTGAGATGTCCTTGGGAGGACAGGCGCAGCCCATGGCCACAACCCATGGGCGCCACCAGAGTAATTATGGCCACGGACATCCTTTTGGGTGACAGGCGCAGCCCATGGCCGCAACCTCATGCGCAACCCAGGAGCGCGACTGATGGCTTCGCAGAATCCTGGGCGATAGTGACAACCAAGGGCCTCAGCCCATGGCGCAATGGATGGACACAACCCGTGGCCACTCAAAAGCCTCGGGGCGACCTGCGCAGTCGAATGGCCGCTGACTTGAGCACAATCCATGGGTGCAGCCTGTGCCCACGCAAAATCTTCGGGGTGACGGCTGGTTCTGGTTCTTACACAACAAGCAAGGAACTCCAGGTGCAGCTGGCGTTTTCGGGAACGGCGCTGACGTTTTGTCCGACTCACCGGAGATGGCTGGGCCCATCGTATCTGCTTGGCACACACGCGTGTGTGTGTGTGTGTGTGTGTGTGTGTGTGTGTGTGTGTTTGTGTGTGTTTGTGTGTGTGTGTGTGTGTTTGTGTGTTTTTTTTTTTTTTTTGTGTGTGTGTGTGTACGTGTGTGAGTGTGTTTGTGTGTGTACGTGTGTGAGTGTGCTTGTGTGTGTGTATGTGTGAATTGGACGAGGGCGTTGAGCCACCTGCAGGCAACCATCCGCCCACCCCGCAGGGATGACTGATAGTTGCCTCCTTGTCTGCTGGGGGCATCCCGCGCGGATCGAAGGACCTGCGGCGGCACGCTCTCGAGAAGAAACCAGATGGAGGAGGAGGAGGAGAAGGAGGAGGAGGAGGAGGAGGAATGTTGAGGCTTGAGGCGTGAGCAGCGAGCTGCTTCGAGCATCCCGACGGGAGGAGAAATAGGATGAGCACGAAGGGTATGAGGAGGGGAAACAGGATCAGGATGAGGAGTAAGCGAAAGGGGGGGTAGGATGGGGGGAGGATGAGAGGGAAGAAGGATGATGGGGAGCATGAGCAGCAGGAGGAGGTGGTGAGATGTACTTTCTCCCCAGATCCTGAGCCCGGACGCCCCTGGAGGTCCTGGAGCAGTCCTCCGGAGGCCTCCAGAAGGCCACGAGCGGTCAGCAACTTGCCAGAGAGGTTCCCACCTCCCCCTCGCTCCTCGAGTCCTCGAGAGTCGAGAAGGGGTGTGGGGGGGAGGACAAACACACAGGCACATATGATATGTTTCTTCTCGGCCATCCTGTGGACTTTGGTGTCCGCTCTGAATCGGCAGCGCCCCGCGTCCTCGCTTAAGTCGGGCCTGTCCCTCCACAGGAGGAGTATTGAAAAATAGTCAAAAAATAGCCCGGGGACCATTTTGCCCATTTTGATTGTCAAAAAATAGTCAAAACATAATCCCAAATAGTCAAACATAGTACTGCTTGGCCATTTTGTTTTTTTTTGGGGGGGGGGGTATTTCTGATTTTTCGCCCGAAATCCCCCTGTAGGGGGACACGCCCGACCTAAGTCCTCGCCTCGCCTCCTCGAGCCTCCCCCCTCGTCGCCCGGCCTCAGCTCGCCGCGCGCGCGTGTTCGCCGCGCCCCCTCGCGCGTCTCCTGCCCCCCCCCCCCCTCCCCTGCTCGAGGAGCTCCGCCTGCTCCGCTTGGCGCAGTCGTACGCCCCCCCCGCCCCCCCCTTCGGCACGAAACCCGAAACCCGAAACCCGAAACCCGAAACCCGAAACCCGAAACCCGAAATCCGAAACCCGAAACCCGAAACCCGAAACCCCTCGCAGGCTTCATGCCCCCCCCCCCCCTGCGGTCTCCGCGGGTGCGGTCCTGCGGCGCCGCTGCCGCCACCTCGGCGCTCCCTCGCACGTGACGCCTCGTGCCCCTCCGGGACACCTCCGCCTGCAGCCTCAACTGGGTGCGGTCGTATGTCGCCGCCGCCGCCCCCATGGCGACCCCCCCTCGCATGCTTTGTGTACCTTAGGGAGCTCCACCCACGGTCTCAGCGGGCGCGGTCGTATGGCACCGCCACCTTCATGTCGGCACCACCCTCACACGTCTCGTGCCTCTTGGAGAGCTCCATCTGCGGTCTCAGTTGACGTGGTCGTATGTCACCGCCGCTGCGATTTCGGCACATCCCTCGGAGGTTCTGTGGCCCCATAGGGAGCTCCACCTACGGCCCCAGAGGGAGGGTCCGCATGGCGGCGCAGCGCATTTCGGCGCACCCCTCACGATGATCGTGGCTTCACAGGAAGCTCCCCCAGTGCAGGTTTCGCATGGCGGCGCCGCCAAATTCGGCGCACCCCTCACGAGCATCGTGGGCTTTATTTACGGCTTCACTTGTAGGGGCCACATGGCGGCGCCGCCCATTTTGGCGCACGGTTTGGCCCATTTTGGCGCCCAGTTTCATCTATGACCCCAGTGGGAAGGTCCGCATGGTGGCGCCGACCATTTCGGCTCACCTCTAACGATGGTTGTGCCACCACAGGGAGTTCCACCCGCGGCACGAGTGGGAACGTTTACATGCGCACTTTCGTCCGTTTCGGCAGCCCCCATTCACACGAGCCCAATCTACGGCCCCAATGGGAAACTTTGCATGCGCTTCCCTGTGCATTTCGGCGTACACCTCGCACGTTTCGTGCCCCCTAGGCAGGTCCACCCACGGTCCAGCGGGAAAGCTTGCATGCGTCCCTCATCCGTTTCGGGGCACCCTCACACGTCTCGTGTCCCTTGGGGTGCTCAACCTACGCCCTCAGTGGGAAAGCTTGCATTCGTTTCCCAGTCCACTTCGGCGCACACCTCAACACGGTTCGTGCCCCTTGGCAGCTCCACCGACGGCTCTTGAGGCATGTTTCGCACGCGTCTCGCCAGCCGAACTCGGCACGACCCACTTTTGGATCGTGCCCCACTGGGGAGCTTCACCTATGGCGCACGCGTCCTCCCACCCATCTCGGCACACCTCTCGCACGGATCGTGCATAGAGAGGACCACTGCCAGTGCTGCATGCGGCTGCTACTTTTGTTTTTATGTTGTTTGTTTTTGCACTTTTGTGTTTGTTGTTTGTTGTTGCTTGTTGCATCGATCCTCGGCGCGAGCGGAGTGGCGAGCTTCTATAAACGAAAACAATGTCAGCGGAAAAGCAGATCATTGCGTGAACCACTGCGCAGCCGCTGGGCCTCAGCGGCGACCTGGAGAGGAGGGCGGGAGGAGTAGGGAGGGAGGCAGATGAGAAGAGAAGGGGAAGGAGGGGAGGAAGGAAGGGCGGGGAGGGGAGGGCTGGGGAGGAAGGGTAGGAAGGGGAGGGAGAGGAGAGGTAGGGGAAGGAGGGATGGGGAGGAAGGGAGGGATGGGGAGGAAGGGAGGGAAGGGGAGGGATGGGGAGGAAGGGAGGGAGAGGAGAGGCAAGGGAAGGCGAGGGTCGAGGGCAGCACTCCGCAGCAGGAGGAGGGGGGCTCCTCGATCGACCGCCTCCCGGTCGGCCCCCAGCTGTCACAGGAGGACGTCTTCGACGCCACCCTCGCGCCCCTGGTCGACGAGGTGCTGGCGGGGTACGAGGCCTGCAGCCCCTTCCCTGCCACCACCCCGAGGGGGGACGAGAGGGAGGAGAGGGAGGATACCATAAAAGTATGAGGACAAGGAAGAAGGAGGAGGATGATGACGATGATGATGATGATGATGATGATGATGATGCTGATGCTGATGCTGATGCTGCTGCTGCTGATGATGATGATGACGAGGATGATGATGATGATGATGATGATGATGATGATGATGATGATGATGATGATGATGATGATGATGATGATGATGATGATGATGATGGATGATGATGATGATGATGCTGCTGATGATGATGATGATGATGATGATGATGATGATGATGATGATGATGATGATGATGATGATGATGATGATGATGATGATTATGATGATGATTATGATGATGATGACGAGGATGCTGATGATGATGATGATGATGATGATGATGACGAGGATGATGAGGATGATGGTGATGATGGTGATGCTGCTGATGATGCTGCTGCTGATGATGAGGAGGAGCAGGAGGAGGAGGAGGACGAGGAGGACGAGGAGGAGGAGGACGAGGAGGAGGCGGAGAAGCAGAAGGATGAGGAGGGGGAGGGGCAGGAGGAGGATGAGTAAGGATGAGGAAGAGCAGGATGATGAGGCGAAGGATGAGGAGGATGAGGATGATGATGAGGAGGAGGAGGAAAATTATGTTGCATGGGCGGAGGAGTATGAGGAGGATGAGGAGGATGAGTAGGACCAGAAGGGGGTGGAGGAAGGGGGCGAGGACGAGCACGAAGAAGAAGAAACATAATAAGAAAAATAACAATAATAAGAAGAAGAGGAAGACGAGGAGGAGGAGGAGGAGGTGGAGGAGGCATAGGCAGAGGAGGACGAAGAGGAGGAGGAGGAGGTGGAGGAGGGCCAGTGTAAACTCAAGACGCACCAACCATTTTGCAATAACCACTCCCACCAAGTTCTCTCTTCACACGTCCCTAAACGAATTCATCGCGAAGGACCTGCGGCCGGTGCCGCCGACCCTGAAGGCGGGATCTTCCCCGGGACCCCGCTGGCGACCCCCCCTGCGGGACCCGCCGGGACCCCCCGGGGGGTGGTATTCTGACCCCCCCTGGCAGGGAAGGGAGAAAGGGGAGGGGCTTCCCTTCGGCTTAACTGCGACGTTCCTTTTCCTTGCGTTTCAGTTTCTGTAGGACAGGCGACGACGACGACGAGGACAACGACGATGACGACGACGGCGACGATGAGGACAGCGATGAGGAGGAGGAGGAGGACGACGACGACGACAGCGACTCACACATGCCAAAGGGTTGGCAGATTTTCATTGCGGGAAGTGGCTCATCAGAAGACAATCATTCGAGAGTCTTCGGTCGTGCTAGAACATTGTTGCTGGGACTTCAACGCCGCGGATCAGCGTGACTGCTGCGTCCTGGGACTTGGAGCACACGAGTCCTTGAACCCGCTGCGCTGTTTCAAGCGAATGTGCGCGGCGCTAAGGCGAGAGCCACATCTTGAGAACGAGCCGCCCCCCATCGTGAAACTGCTGCAAACGCTTATGACGAGTGTGGCCGGCGCTCAGGGCGAGGGCCACATTTTGAAAAGGACCCGCCCTCCATCCGTGAAGCTCTTGCACTCTTTAAGCACGATTGTGGCCAGCGCTCAGGCGATAACCACATTTTTAGAACGAACCGCCCTCCATCCGAGAAGCTGTTGCAAACTTTCAAGGCCAATGTAGCATGCGCTAAAGCGACAGCCGCATTTTGAAACGGACCCGCCGTCCATCCGCGCTCTTTTAGGACGCATATGTGTGGCGCCGAGGCGAGAGCTACATTTTGAGAACAACCCGCCATCCACGCGTGAAACTGTTGCAAGCTTCAAGCTTCAGGATCCCAAATGGCGAGGAGGTCTCAGGCGAAACGCCCAGCCCGCTCTGCCGACACGTCTTGGGGTGCGACAGGGAGGCGCTACTTATCGAAGACGTCTACGGCGAATCACCGCCGCCCCCTGCCTTTTTGGATGCGCCTATGTGGCCGAAAGTTGGGTTTGAGCGTGGCCATGCAATCGGGCCACGCGTTCCCCGAGTGGGTTTCGAAAGCTTTCGGGGAACACGGAGTCGGGCGAGCTATCGGACCAGGTGGCTTCCGAGCTTTCGGGTTTCCTGGAGGACGTCTTGAAGGGCTCTTGGGCCGGCTTGGTGGGCAGTCTAAGGCCATCTTGAGGCCATCTGGGGCCGTCTTGGGTGCATCTTGGGGCCATTTTCGCTGTCTTGGAGGCCTTCTTGGCCGTCTTGGAGGCCATCTTCGGCGTCTTCGGGGCTATCATGGGCCGTCTTGGGCTCTTCTTGGGGCCCTCTTGGGGGCCTCTTGGGCTCTCATGGGGCCATCTTGGAGGCCTCTTGGACGCTCTTGGGACGATGTTGGGGGCCTCTTGGGCCGTCTTGGGCCGTCGGAGAATTGATAAGAAGAACATGCCAAAGTCCTTCAAAAACCTAAGCAACATTTTGCCCTTTCGGGCCTTCCTGGAGGACGTCTTGGAGGCCTCTTGGGCCGTCTTGGAGGCCTCTTCTGGGCCTTCTGGGCCGTCTTAGACCATCTCGAGGTCATCTGGGGCCGTCTTGTGGGCATCTTGGGACCATCTTAGCCGTCTTGGAGGCTTTCTTGGAGGCCATCTTGGCCGTCTTGGAGGCATCTTGGAGGCCATGTTGGGCCATCAGGGCGGTTTTGAAAGCCATCTTGAGCCGTCTTGGGGGAGTTTTTGGAAGAATTGCGCGCCCTTCGGGTGGCTGGCGGGACGAGCCGAAGCCCCAGGGGGAGTTCTTTTGGAAAAAGAACCAAAACCCAAACCGCAACAATTTAGCACGCCAGGCACCCCTTTGATGAATCAACGGGGGGCGGCGGATCGAAGACGCCTACGGCGAATCACCGCCGCCCCCTGCCTTTGTGGAAGCGCCTATGTGGCCGAACGTTGAGGCCAGACCTGCCAAGCTATCGGACCATGTGTTCCCCGAATCGGTTTGGAAAGCCTTCGGGGAACACGTGGGCATCTTGAAGGTCATCTTGGCCGCCTGGAGGCCATTTTGACCCTTTCGGGCCTGCTTGGAGGACGTCTTGGAGGGTTCTTGGGCCGTTTTAGAGGCCATCTTGAGCGTCTTGGAGGCCTCTTCGTCTGTCTTGGGGGCCTCTTGGGGCCGTCTTGGGCCTCTTGGGCGATCTTTGGGGGCACTTTGGCTGTCTCGGGCAGTCGAAAGGCCGAAACAAATGCAAATGCCACAATCCTTCAAAAACTCATGGGACATGAATGATTTTGGCCTTTTCGGGCCTTCCTGGAGGCCCTCTTGGAGGCCTCTTGGGCCGTCTAGGGCCAATCTTAGTGCCATCTTCGGCCGTCTTGGTGGGCTCCTGGCCCGTCCGACGCCGTCGGAAGCCGTTTGGGGGGCCTCTCTGGGCCGACTTGGGGCCCTCTTGGAATGCTGCTCCAGGGCCGTCTTGGAGGCCATCCTGGGCGTCTGAAAGGCCTCCTGGGCCGTCTTGGGGGCCTCTTGGGGCCGTCTTGGGGGCCTCTTGGGCCGTTCTGGGGCCATCTTGGAGGCCTCTTGAGCGATCCTTGGGTGATCTTTGGGGGTTCTTTGGCCGTCTCGGGCCGTTGGAAGGCCGAGCCGAAGCAAATGTCAAACTCCTTCGAACACCTAAGGAACATCAGTGGCTTTGGCCTTCTCTTGCCTTCCTGGAGGCCCTCTTGGAGGCCTCTTGGGCCGTCTTGGGCCAGCTTCGAGCCAACTTCGGCCATCTTGGTGGGCTCCTGGCCCGTCTGACGCCGTCGTAAGCCGTTTGGGGGGCCTTTCTGGGCCGACTTGGGGCCCTCTTGGGGTGCTCCAGGGCCGTCTCAGAGGCCATCTTGGGCGTCTTGGAGGCCTCTTGGGTCGTCTTTGTGCCCTCTTGGGGCCGTCTTGGGGGCCTCTTGGGCCGTCCTGAGGCCATCTTGGAGGCCTCTTGGGCGCTGTGGGGGCGATCTTGGGAGCCTCGCGGGCCGTCTTGGGTCGTCGGAAAGCCGAGAAGAAGCGTATGCCAAAATCCTAAAAAAACCTGGGGAACATCAATGATTTTGGCCTCTTCCTCTTGGAGGCCTCTTGGGCCGTCTTGGAGGCCTCTGGGGGGCCTCTGGGGCCGTCTTCGGCCATCTTGGACTCTTAGGCCGTATGGGAGGCCGTCTTGGACCATCTTGGGCTGACTTGGAGGCCATCTTGGACCATCTTGGAGGCCATCTTGGGCCAACGTGACCACCTTGGATCCCATCTTGGGCCACGTTTAACGAAACATTGGGAACATTGAGGGCCTTCCGGGTGGCCGGCGGGACAGGCCGAAGCTCCAGGGGGAGGTCTTTTGGAAAAAGAGCCAAAACCAAAACCGATAGGATACGGCGGATCGAAGACGCCTACGGCGAACCACCGCCGCCCCCCTGCCTTTGTGGAAGCGTCTATGTGGCCGAACGTTGAGGCCAGACCTGCCAAGCCATCGACCATGTGTTCCCCGAATCGGTTTGGAAAGCCTTCGGGGAACACGTGGGCATCTTGAAGGTCATCTTGGCCGTCTTGGAGGCATCTTGAGCGATCCTTGGGTGATCTTTCGGGGTTCTTTGGCCGTCTCGGGCCGTCGGAAGCCCGAAAAGAAGGAAATGTCAAAATCCGTCAAAAACCTTAGGAACATCAATGTTTTTGGCCTCTTCTGGCCTTCCTGGAGGCCCTCTTGGGGGCCTCTTGGGTCGTCTTGGGCCAGCTTCGAGCCAACTTCGGCCATCTTGGTGTGTTCCTGGCACGTGTGACGCCGTCGGAGCCGTCTTGGGGGCCTTTCTCGGCCAACGGGGGACCCTCTTGGGGTGCTTCGGGGCCGTCTTGGAGGCCATCTTGGGCATCTTGGAGGCCATCTTGGGCGTGTTGGAGGCCTTTTGGGCTGTCTTGGGGCCCTCTTGGGGCCATCTTGGAGGCCACTTGGGCCGTCATGGGGCCCTCTTGGGGG